CATTTCCTCAAATATTTATTTGACATGGTTTATTACGTACAGTGCCAGAGGAATAACCGGCCTTCTTGGTCTATGTCTATGAAGCTTGCTTCATACAAGTAGCTCATTTCTTGGTCTATTGAGCATAATTTATACAAGTATAAGTAAAATTTTAGTTATGCAAGTATAGATAATATGTTTGTTGAATAAATTGAATAAATAATTTAAAATTTTTATATTTGTTATTTAACCTGATATTTACAGATATACTCTTTTTATATCTACTATTTATCTAATTTAATGTTACACAATTTAGATATAGTATTTAATTACCTAAATGAGTAAGGTATTTGCAATTAACAGTTGTATCCGCACTCAGCGCTCGGCCTAGTGCGCAACGGTGAATGAACCAAGACGGTGTGATCGGAGAGTGATTAACATGATGACGGTCATTTTCTTTTAGGCTACTTTAGTTCTTTGACATATTCAAAGTTGACTAGATCAGTAGAAGCACAAGAGATTAAGGTCAAAACAGAGTCATAGGCCCAACCGACCTAGATGATCAATTTGCAAGGTATTGGCCCATATGAGTTGGAAATGACATCATGTTCCTGTTAGTTAGGGCTTGAATTAGTGGAGAGAGAGATTCAAATTTTTTATCTCGTTCTCACATCACAAACAGCTTGATGGCTTTATGGTAACACGTGAATTGCAGTACTTACCTCTTTAATGAATCTCTTCAAAGGTTCACAGTCCTCAGTGAGTGATCCAAGAGCACTTGCACATGCGCGCCTTATTCAAGCGTTTACCTCCATGTGATCTCTCTGCCCTGCCCCACGATTGCCATACCCAAGTACACTTCAAAATCTAACTCCCATTAGGAAGTTCACCTATAAATGAGAAATCTCATCTCAAAATGATAGAATAGGAGTAAATTAAATATATATGTGAAGGTTTGCAAATTTTAATTTGCAAAGTATTAATATGTAATCATAGTATAATGTACACATACTAATGACCCGTTAATTCGAATAGAAGAAGTTTGGTTCTCTTTAAATAAAATTTCAAATTCGAATCTTGTAAATAAAGAAACAAATACTGAGAGAATTTCCTTCCATGTAAGGTTCAACACGATTTGACTATGAATTAATCAAATTATCGGATATCGAGAGATTAATACAAAAAAAAAAAATAATGTACACATAAAAATTATCTTTAGTTATACCGACTATATGTACAAGAGAAAAAACATGTAATACACTCTTGCTCTGAATTTTACTATAAATACATGCATGTTGACAGAAAAATCTCAACTTCCAGCTTAATGGGACATGTGGTCTATGTCTGGTTGATCACGATCATATTTTTGTATGACTAAGATATGTCACCCATCATCACGTGCCAACTTTAAAAATGGTTCACCTGTATCTGGTAACCTAGTGACCCAACTCGTCTGACCTGATCGAATCAAGTTGTGGGATTCGGCATGTTGAACCATGACCTGCTTTAATCAAGTTAGATCGGGTATCAGATTATTAGGTTTGCATGTGCCAATTTCTGCCCCCTTCACTACGCTTGCATGTTTGCTGCTCTAATTCCGAGTTTTCCTTTGCCGTTAAATGGGCAAAAACTAAACATTGGGAACAGTTCAAAAAGATACCACACCACAACAAGACGTGACAATTTGCAATTTACAAAAGAATTTTAGATTAAAAGAGCAGTTTAGGTTAAAGTGCCATGCGCACGTGCATTCATGTGTGTGAAAATGTGGACGCTCGCATATGCATATACGCACACGTGCGCACATGCTTGCGTGGTTTCTTAGGGGAAAAACGGCATATACTACACAATATCAGTCTTGAAAATGTGAGAACTAGAGATGGCTAAGTGTATGTCATGTGGGTTCATAAAAACCTAGTCAACAGCCCTAGTAATAATAGCCTAGTATCAATCTAATTTCTTGGCCCAAGAAATTTCTTACGTCTTTGTCCTCGTAAGAATATGCTTGATGTTTCAATTTTAAGTCATATGATTTGGAGATAGTTTTTTTCCTTCTTTTTTCTTTTTTTTCTCTTTACTACTTCCAGTCTCTATTAAAATCTAAAATAATTAAGATTGATTATATGAATTCTAGTTTGTGCATTGTAAGCCTTAAAAGATGTTTATATTAACTGTTCAAATACAATTGACTTTTAATAATCAATATCTTATGATTAATAGTTATTTTATAAAATAATTTGTAATTCAAACTAATAATTGATAACTGTTTTTGAAAAGTTAAAACAAATACTAGCATAGTTGGAAATACTTAGTTACTTGCAAAACATGTATGGTGACTGTGTCAACGAACACATTCTATCAGTCCACTGTGTGATTGAGAGATAAGAGGGTGTGTATACAAAGAAGATTTGGTGCTGACTGTTATGTTGAATTGAGGAGACGCTAATAATAATGCCGACTCTTTAGGGGCCACTAGATACGTGTTCTTTGCGCGTTCAATTGTGCTGTAGTTTAGCAGGATTGATTCAAATTAATTAGGCTGGGTGGATGGGTGCAGAGCTCTTCATCACCTGATTATAAGTTACCCAGGTAAGGTTGCAATAGGACCTTTGATCACTTCATATAGGTTGATGGATTTAGCTGTACTATTTTTCAATCTAAATTGCATGTAGTTCGGGCAATCCTTAATGACTTTTGTTCATTAAGGATATATGTTTTGGCACTTTTGTAAACTGGACTGTTTTTTTTTTTTTTTTTCTGTAAAATTCAAATTGCAAAAATTCATATTCTCAATGTAATAACATGAGTCTTTCTTTTGCTCACCGTATTTGTTTCGGGTTTTATAGAGGCACCTTCTCTAAGTTGTAGTAACTTTTGAATTTTATATATAAACAGCACGAGTGGTGGTAGTGGACAAAGAAAAGGAGTAATAAATTCTGGTGTTTGTAAGACCTAAGTTTTCAGGTTTTTATTTCTGTTGGGATTTTTCTTTATGATTCACTATAGCTGCACTTGGCCAAACAGTGCACATGGGGAGAATTAAAGGAAGGAGCAAAGGGCTATTAAAATTGGTCCTTTTTGTCTCCGGAGCTGCATAATTTCTTGCTAGATTTGGACCCTAATCGAACCTAATTATTCTGCACAATGTCCATCTTTTTGGAGGACCACTTTTAGTCTAGCTATTAAAAGCAATCCTCCATTCTCCATGTGAACTGAATGATAATTTGTATTATGCAGAACCATGTTGTTTACCCTTGATTTGACCTATGAATAAGCAGTGTTTGATATTGAAAATATATATATCTAGAACTTAATTTGCCCATAAAGAGTTATTTATTCAAAAGAAAAATGTAGAAAATTAATTTGAAATCTAACACAAACCATTGAGATCTCATTAAGAAAAAAGAGAGCTCCGTTGACCTAATAGAAATGTGTTTTTTAGTCTACACCAGTCGGAAAAATGCCGGTTTTATTTCAAAAAGACAATTCTACCCTTAACAAATCTTTAAACATTAAGGGTAAAATTGTTTTTTTACTAGCCTAGTTTGGCATTTTTGGACTGACAACTTGTGATATCTTAATCTAATTAAAGCATTAATTAGCAAAATTATTGTGAGTATAATGTAGATTTTGATTCTATGCATGGTCCATTTGAGAATGTTGTTTTGGGTCAGACGGCAACAAATTAGCCATTGATTTTGGGGGAGGTAGGCCCACATTCAACGGTTCTTCCCCATCAGTAGTTATAGTTGTGTAGTTTACACCAACGAGGGGTTAGATCAAGTGGCAAGCGGCTTGTTCCAGCTTAAACAAGGTTTTGAGTTCGAAACTTTGTGTACGCAGCAGCCTTCGTTGGGAGACCCACCCACCATTCTGATGCGCCATAGCTGGTCGAGTCCGAAGTAATCGGGGCAAAACCCCGGATACCGGGTGGGAAACCAAAAAAAAAAAAAAATAGTTGTGTAGTTTACATTAAATTATATAACACTTTTTAAATTTATTTTATGTACTTCATAATAAAAAAATCGTTTTTTCAACGAATTGTCTTATGTAATTAAGAGATTAAAACTTTAAATTAAAGATCTTAAATTTAAAATTTAAGATAAATAAAAAAAAATTAAAGAAATGAGAAATTATTTTTTATTGTATAATTTATTATTTAATGTATAAAAATGAAAACATACTATAGAAATTGGGCCAAAGTTGGGAAAGTGAGGTAAGAGAGATAAAATTAAGGCGTTAGTGCAGAAGGAATAGATGTCCACATGGTAAGGGGAAAATGGATGTGTACCCTGTTTTGTTATGAGGGTACGCAGTGCCTCGCTGTCTAGCATGTGAAGGGTTTGTGGCTTTCCTCTTTCCTTTCTCTCTTACATAGATATATTGCACCCAACTGGCACTTTTGATTCATTCATTCAAATAGACACCCCAATGTGTATAGTGAGGACAAATTAGTCTAGGATTTGAGTATGATTCTCTTGGTCTTCAAAATTCTATCTTACTTGGTAAACACCAAAAATAGAGACACACCACCTAGAGAGTTACCATTACCATATTTTTTTCTTATCCCAATTATACAAAAACTTACATCTCCTCTTCATAAAAAGGACCCATGTTCAAGGAAGAACCATATTGAGTTTGAGGGCTAGTATAGTGGGGAGAGGAGAAGTGAATTTCATGGCCTCAAAATGCAGTAGTGGGTGTGAGTCTGGTTGGACTCTGTACTTAGAACAGTCTTTTGTTTCTCCAAGTCCTTCACATAGGCGACCCGGGTTCGATTCAATGAAAGGTTTTTGTGGAAAAGCCACAGAGAAAAGTAAAACTCAAGTAGTAGAAGAGGTTGATGTCGAAGAAGAGGAAGATTTGTCCATGGTTTCTGATGCATCTTCTGGGCCTCCGCATGTCCATGAAGATGATGGTTACTTTGGCGAGAACAGATATCACCATTATCCTGAATCAGAAGGTGCTGCATTGGTTCAATCAGACAGCAAACGCTGCAGAAACAAGGAACATCAACGCCGGAGCCAAGATCCGGAGATGTTCTCTTTTCTGGATGACACCGCTAGCTCTCCCCTCATAAATTTTTCCCAGGTGATAATTCATTTCAGAACAAAAAAATAATATTCCACATCTCTATACTGATTCCTGAAATGATATTTGATTCTACTTTGATGGGTACTTTCTTGAAAATTTTTTAGAACAATTTGGCTGTCAACAACAATCAGGCTTCGATGGAGAATGTCCTGGATTACTCACAGGGATTCTCTGCTTCACATTTTGAGGTACTTGGCCTTGTCTCTTTTCATGCTTTCTCCATAAGTCCTGAGTTCCAGTTTTTTAAATTATAACATGTTTGATGAAATTCCTCACAGGGAAGGCCTTTATTCCAAGACCACTTTGGCTTCTTCCAGTCTTCTCTGTCTAGTAACCAACTGCAACGAAACCAGTTGAGTAACTCCTCTCTATCTTTACCCCCAATAAATTTTCAGTTCTTTATTATTATTTTTTTATGGTTTTTGAATGATCATGATCTCATTGAAAGTTTCAACATTATCAGGTGGTATTAAGAGAGGAATGTGGAGATGAGCTGGTTGCATTACTCCTTCTGCTTCAGTACTTGCTCTGGAAGAAATTGAAGAAAGGTTGTCCAAAAACAAAAAAAAAAAAAAAAAAAAAAAAAAGAGAGGAAAAGAAGCATTGGAGATCTTAAAAGGGATCTCTTCATCTTTTTTCTATTTCTCTTTTCTGCTTTTCTTTTAACTTCCAATGGCATGGGAAACAACATGAGGGCACAAGTTGGGAATAAAAATCTCTTGTTTTCACATAATGATCTTGTCAAGGAACAGTCGGTACAAATTAGCTTAGCATTTTCGACAGCCTCTGTGCAATTATGTCCAGTCTTTGCTTTTGATGGAGCCCCATGCTCTGTTCACATCTCCACTTGCAATCTCTTTAATTCAACTAAAATAAAATACTTTAAAAAATAAATAAACCAAGCAAATAAATAGTTCTCAAGCAAAATTTTTAGCATCCTGATTTCCAAAATTTATGGGAAATTTATTTTCATTTTTCTCTTAGCCGATTCGAAACTTCTAACTTTAAAGAATAAAAAAATTTTGTATAATTTAAATTGTATTGATTGTACAATATATATTATTAAATGAAAAGTAAGTCTTTTAACATTAAATATTATCTTTTTATCTAATAATTTTTATTTTATAATTTAATATAATTTAAATTATAAAATAAAAAATCTTTAAAATAAGATTTCACATGCCTGCTCTTCATTCAATTATTTTTATTTTATAATGCAGTAAATTTTTAAAAGAAGGTTTCCCACGGCTAGGGTTCTAACTTCTAAAAGACGATGAAGAATAGTTTCCTTGTACGGTGCTTGTTCCTAATTTATGAGTATCTTTAATTTCCTTTGGTCGCTCCCATTCATCCTTATCATGTTAAAATCATATTCATATTAGTCTTTTTTTAGAAAAAAAAAAAAAAAACCTTTTCCAAACACATTAGTCTTCATTAGAATAAAAAAGCTTCAAATTCACCATATAGAAGATAGGGATGGAGAACCAAATCATCCATTGAATCTCTATGTTTCTTTATTTCTTTTTTACTTTTGATAAAATTTGAACCTAAAACTTTACCAATGCAAATGTCTTACTAAGATTCTTTTAATTAATTTTTTAATATACCATTCTATTATTTTCAACAAAACTGGACAAATGGAAGTATCATGCACCTAACTTTGGATGGCTAATCTAGTATAATAAAAGATGTGACTAATTAAAGACTAAAATAATTAAGAAGATTTGATTAGGTGGGATTTTGTCCAAACCTAAAATTGAAAAGTTTAATCTTTGTGGAAGTAGAACCAAATTATGGAAGAAAAAATAAGGCATTTGTCAAGTGCAAAATAATTAGTACAATTTATGACAACGGCCTAAATAACTTAATAATCATTTCTTTTCATTGAAAGTAAGAGATTTTGAGTTTGAGTTGCATGGTATACGAGTGGGGTGAGATAAGAGATGAGAGATGATTGCCTCTCATTGTGCAACTAAAATAAAAAAAAAATAGTACAACTTCTAGTTTAATGCATTTTACAATACTTATTAGTTTAATAATTAAATTTTATAACTTTTAGTTTTTTCATTTTTAATTTAAATTTAAAAAAATAATTTTTTAATAAATATATTATTAGATTTGTTGAACTATATAGTATATCAATTATTATCTTCTGGCCAATAGCAAAATAGCAAAGACAATAACTCCCTGTCTCGAAGGGTCCAGACAAGACCCCCAACCACCTTAATTCTAATATTTCTCTCATGAAAAGCTCAACAATCACATGAAAAGGAGACAAGGAGATGCAAAGTGTTAATGGAGAGAGTTATGGGCATTCATTCTTAGAAAAGAAGAAGAAATGAGAAAGCTAAAAGTTGGAATATTTCATATGCATCTCCATGACCCTTTTGTTTAAAAGCTACAGGAGATCCTGCCTGTGATTTTCCTGACCCGATGGAACATGCCCCATTATATTTAATCTTGTGAGCTCTTTATCTCATTTGGAAGGATCTCCAATTTTAAAATTGCTTCACCTTTGCTCTCCCCAATCCTGTCTGCTTTGAAGTTGTCAAAGGACTTGATGTCATGCACAATTATGTGTCTTTTCACTTGATTTCTTTATTCATCCAAGATTTTATAATCTGGTTTATGTTGATAATGGTAGTAATAAGAACAAAGAAAAAATAACACTTGTGTGGAGAGATCCCGTTGATAAGAGCACAAATAAAGCCCAATACATATTTTTGCAACGTTATTTTGAACTTAATATACTAAGTTGTTTAATTTATACATTTCAAAAAGTATATTTTTTATATTTTCATCATATTTTTTTCTAGGTGAAAGAATCGCACCTCACATGTGAACTTAATAATTAACTTGAGAATTTATGATGGCAAAGAAAACAAAAGTGTTCTCTGCTACACTGAGATGTGCTATTTTCATCTTAAATTCCAGTGTCCAGTCAAAAATATACAGAGGAAGGTATAGGAAAAAGGGTACACCGCCTCATTGCTCTCCATCACATTGAATGAGGACGTTAAAAACAAGTATGGGATGAAACATAAAGTGTTGTTCCAACTACCATCAAAACAAAAAAACTTCAATCCTCCTGTAAAATACAGCAGGAATCGGAATGGCGTTGCTGTTGATTTTTTTGTTTCCTGTCTCGGACGCCGTCTCAACAGTGTTTAGTTTGCTTTTCTTTTCCATGACAGCAGTTTGCTTGTCCCCTTATCGTCTCTATGCCATACAGCTGCTTTGCGTGTAGAGAATAGTACAAAATTCTGGTTGATTTGGGGTCGTACACTCATGCCGTAGTATGTCTAGAAGATTATTTCAAAATTTTATAAAATTTTGTTTCGCGTCTGACTCTCTCCGGCAATTTTTTTTTTGTTTATTTTATTACTATATTATTATGGGATTTTTACATATTAGAGATTTTTCAATTATATTAAAAACTTACAAATTTATTTTTTTAAAAAATTACAAAATTATAGAGAAACTCAATCTTTAATATTAAAGGAATTATAATAATATTATAGTCATAATATTACCTAAAATTATAAATTTGTAATTATAATGT